GCCCGAGTATTTGCACTGTTAACAAGTCCCACGCAAATTCCACTGCAAAGCCATAATCAGGAACTGCAGTGTGGAGCCCATACTCTGTAGCAGGAGCCTGCCCCTTCACATGGCTCCCACAGTTCTGTGTCAGGGAGTTGACAGATTACAGACTGAGGAACACAGGCACAGAAGGGCATCGAAGGTCCTCCCAACTCTCAGATTCTGTAGCCACCTCACCCTGCTCTTCCCTGGGACCCCTTGTAATTCACTCCATGGAGCAGTTGCAATCCTCACACACTGCTTGGGGGTGTTAGAGAGGCTGGTACAAGCCCCAGAAATTTATACTGAGCCCCAGCTGATGGTGGGGGAATTTCTGAGATGCCAGTCCTTATCCACACTCCCTCCCCTGTCACCACAGCACAGTCCTCCTTGCTGCTCTCCCCTCCATTGGGCACCCATGGGTCATTTATCCTTCATGGAACTTCAGTTGATCTAATTCGCTAAACATTATCCCTAGCAGAAGCAGAACTCAGCCAGGGGATCCAGGACCTCACACGCTTCTCTCCAACCTATTCCTCACCATTAAGAGCTTGATACAAATGACATGGTGCAGAACCCAGGCAGGCAGTAGGTGATGCATGTTTAACCCCTGAATGACAGAAGGACGCATCCAAATGCCCTTGCATCCTTCACGAAATCAGGCAAAAACTGCTTCTTGGAAATCTGTCAATTCAGAGCTAAACCCAAGGGAACACATCCCCTCCCTATATCAGAGCTGCTCTAAGGAGGCAATCAGGCTGTTATCCTCCTTCTTTTCCTCCAATCTGCATCCACATAAAAAGAGGTGACAAGAATCTTCAAAAGTAGCACAGAAGAGAGAAAAGAAGGCATACAAGTAATGTGGAGCCTCCAGGAAGGAGGGGGAAAGTGCAGGTGGAGCAGGCGCTCCCAGGAGTGATTCAGAGTCTGGCTCTGCTACTTATTGTTTGGTTAAGTTACTTAAATTTACTTGTCTCATCTGTAAAATGCAGATAATACTGCCCATCTCACAGAGTTGCCATGGTAATTAACTAAAGTAATAGACAGTTCTTACTAATAAAGCAACATTTTTAAATAATAGCCGTGACCACTCTAAAAAAAAAAAAATAATAATAAATAGAGTAGCCCTGTGATGCAATGGTTAAGCACTTAGCTGCTAACCAAAAGGTTTGTGATTCAAACCTACCCAGAAGCTCCATGGGAAACAGACTTGGCAATCTGCTCCCATAGAGATCGTTGTTGCTATTGTTGTTAGGTGTTGTCAACTTGGCTCTGACTCATAGTGACCCCACGTACAACAGGACAAAACACTGCCTGGTCCTGTGCCAGGCTCACAATCCCTGCTATACCAGAGCCCATTGTTGTAGCCAATGTGTCAATCCATCTCATTGAGGGTCTTCCCCTTTTCCATTCACCCTCCACTTTGCCAAGTATGATATCCTTCTCCAGGGAATGGTCCCTTCTGACAACATGAACAAAGTAAGTGAGATGAATTCTGGCCATTCTCGCTTCCAAGTAGCATTCCAGCTGCACTTCTTCCAGGACAGATCTGTTAGTTCTTTTAGCAGTCCACGGTACTTTCAGCATTCTTTACCAGCACCACAACTCAAAAGCATCAACTCTTCCTTGGTCTTCCTTGTTCATTGTCCAGCTCTCATATGCATATAAGGTGATTAACATGCCATGGCTTAGGTTAGGCACACCTTAGTCTTCAAGGAGACATCTTACTCTTCAGCACTTGAAAGGGGTATTTTACAGCAGATGTGCCCAGTGCAATACGTAGTCTGATAACCCTAGCTTCTACCCAATTCTCAAAGGGGGGGTCTGTGGCCTGAATAAGATTAAAAATTGCTATATGGAATATCTATTTTCTTTTTTGCAAAGAATGTTCCTAGAAAGTTCACAAGAAATTGTTAACACTGGCTTTCTCTGGTGAGGGGAAAATCTAGAAACCTGGGATGAAAAAGAGACTTATTTTTCATTGTACTATTTTCTATTATTTGAATTTGCAATCTACTTCCGTAGAGATACCCCCTCAGAAACCCAAGGAGGGGTCACTATGAGTCGGAACTGACCCAAGGGCAGTAAGTTTGGTTTTTGGTTTATAGGCATGTATTATGTCTTCAATTAAACAAGCCCAAACAACTGCATTGGAGAGAAAAGGGGTCTCGCAACCATCTAGAAACTCATCTGAACTCCTCTGTATTGGCATCATTAGCCAGAGGGTCTCACTTGGCAAAAATTATGTCTGTTTTCTCCAGTCACAATGGACATGCTTCTAGGAGAAAAGAACAATTGCTGTGGAGATTTTCCATTGCAGCATCAATTTATGATGCTTGGGAGGTGACTTAGGTGTATGTGGGTTTGAACAGTGTTGCTGCTGCAGCTGCTCCTTTTCCAGCATTGGAACAGAGCCATCTGGCATGAGTCTCCAGCTCTTAAATCAGTCTGGCTTGCAGACACCCTTGATTTCTTAAGGTGTGCAGTGAGAAGGCTGGGAAAGGAAGCATGGGGACCCCATCAGAGTGAAGCATGCAAAATAGAAACACATGGACAGCTCCCTGGCTTCCCAGGTCAGCCCAGCTGCTGCAGTGATTTATAAGAGGCTGAGCCAAGTCCCCACTGCTCCAGACCAAAAGGACAGAGGAAGAGGCAGAGAGAAGCAGGTCACACCTGCATGTTCCCATTCCTCCTTCTTGGGAAGGGCTTTGTTTACTTGCAGACTGCAGGTGGTGGCAGCTGGGCCTGCAAACACCATTGCAAGACCAGTTGGCGTGGTTCAATCAGGTCACTTGAGCCACTCTGTTATCACTTCCCATCCAAAACTTGCTTCCTGCCTAATTCCCTCTGGCCGACTCACCACACAGCCTTACAGAAGAGACGTGGCCTAATTTATAAACAGACACATGGGATCTGCAGTATGAGAGGCCTTCACTTTTGTTGTGAGCCTGGGTAAGTTTCAGCAAGGCTTCACTGTTGTAAGTAGATAGTAATCCCTTATGTTTGTAGAGCACTGTAGTGTTAACAAAACACTTCAACTATAATCTCTATAAGGCTTATCACTGGCACCCATTTTACAGATGAGAAAACTGAAGGCTCAATGACTCCTCAATGTCTGCCTTTCCCCCATCTAGTGAGAGGCATGGATAGCGTCGGCACCCAATATTAATTTGTTGGTGAATTAAACAATTATTGAATGAATTGATCCATCCATAAAGAGGAAGGGGGTATGCAGTGGAGTCACCTCGTACCAGAAAGAGAGCCAATCATGCACATAAGTTTGCAATTTCATCTTCAGTGATATCACATTTGTAGCTTGAAATTGGTTGTGGTGGGAGTAATTTGACCAAGGTGGTAGCAGATGACACAAATCAAATTTCATTTTTTTTTTTTCCCAAAGAACCAGCTTTCTAGCATACTGGATATAACTCTGGGTGGCCAGTTGGTTAAGTGTTGGGCTGTTCATTGAAGGGTTAGTGGTTTGAGTCTACCCAGAGATGCTTTGGAAGAAAGGCCTTGTGATGCCCTTCTGAAAAATCGGCCATTGAAAATTCTATGGAATGACAGCTTCAGCAGCATACACTAAAAATTGAAATGATACAGAGAAGATTAGCATGGCTCCTGCACAAGGATAACATGCAAATTTGTGAAGCATTCCATAGTTTTTTGTTACATTGTGGGGATTGCAATCAATGTCCTGAAACAAAATGTGTATGAACTGTTGAATGGAAAACAAGTTCGCTCTGTAAACTTTCACCCAAATCACAATGAAAAGTTAAAAAAACAAAAAAACCCTATGGAGCACAGTTCTACTCTGACACATATATGGTTGTGTCAATACATGTGACAACTGATTTTTGGTTTTTCAAAAAAAAAAAGGAGGAGAAAGTACTAAAGGGCTAAATAAAGAATGTTTATTACTTCAACATACATGTATAAATGCTAGATATGTAAGACAGTGGGGTAAGCTGGTGGAGAGCAGCAAATATTTGAAATACACCTTATGTTCTCAAGGCACATCCATTCTCAAGCATAAACGAATCACCTGGGGATCTTGGTAAAATGCAGATTCTGGTTCAGTGGGTCTAGGAGGGACCTGAGATTCTACACATTGAACAAGCTCCCAGGTTCCCAGGTTATGTCAATGCTACCCATATGCAGACCAAACCTAGAGAAGCAAGGATCTGGGAGGTTACTGTGGGCTGGCTCTGGGCCAGTGTAGTTTCAAATGTTCAATATCTATTAACACATTTAATCCTCACACCACTCCGTTACCATAGGGTCAATTCTGACTCATTGCAACCCTATAAGAGAAAATAGAACTGCCCCATGGGGTCTCCAAGGCTGTAATCTTCATGGAAGCAGACTGCCACATCTTTCCCCTATGGAAAACCTAGCCGATAGGTTCGAACTCCCAACCTTCTAGTTAGCAGCTGAGCACTTAACCAGTGTACCACCAGGGATTCTTCCCTCACACACTTGGTGTATAATATTTTTATCCACCGCTTGCAAATGAGACCGTAGAGGTCCAAGGTCACCTAGCTGGTAAATAGCAAAGCCACCTCTCAAACTCAGGTAGTCTGGATCAAGGAATGAGGAGTTAGCCTAAAACTCTATCTGGTTGGAACTTTTGAGTTGATTTTCTGTCTTAAAAATGAATATTCTTGCCTCTCCTCTCTCTTCCCACGCTCTCCTTTTATTCACTGCCCATTTTCTACTTCACTACCCACAATTACTACCAGAGAAGAGAAAAGGAGAAGTGAGAATGCTCAAACTCATCAAGTGCAACGTCCTCAAAACACTGAAAGCTCAATAGGCTCCCCCTCCTCTCCCACAGGCAGCCCTTCTCAGAGCTGGCTTGCGCACACCATCTAGTCATCTTCCCAAGGCCCTTGCCCAGGGCCAGTCCTGTTTGTTCTGAAAATTCCATTTCTTGGGGAAAGTGGCAGGCACCTCTGTGATCCTTCAGGGCCTCTTACCTAATTCCTCGGCAGGTGCTGAGTGTGACACTAGACTCTTCTGCTTTCCTCACTGTCCCATGGTAAAAGCAATGATCCTAGCAAGGAGAAAGGAGGTGGTCAGCTAAAGAACAATGTAGAAACATGAAATTCACATGAAATTTCTCATGAAATTCACAAATGATTTGCACCAATTTAAAAAAAAAAAAAAAAAAACAGTATCGTTGAGTTGATTCTGACTCACGTCAACTCTATAGGACAGAAGAACAGAACTGCCCCATAGGGTTTCCAAGGCTATAAATTTTTACAGAAGCAGACTGTCACATCTTTATCCTGTGGAGTGGCGATGGGTTTGAATCACTGACTTTTTGGTTAGCATGTGAGGACTTAACCACTGTACCACCAGGCCTTCTCATATGATTAATAGTTCCTTATCTATCTACCTTAACCTTATAGCACTTTACAATTTATAAAGAGCTTTCCATTTTATCATTTTGATTCTCAGAATTATCCTGTGAGTTCGAGTAGGACTGACGTCATTATCCCCATTGAATAGATGAAGAAACCAAGATTTAGAGGACCAAAGGGATCTGCCAACATTCTCACTGTTAGCTGGAGAACCAAGTTTTTTAGATTCTCATTCAGCACTCTTTCCATGACACAAGGTTGGAGACAAGATACGCAGGCTTCTGAAAGATCCTGCTGCCTCCAGAGTCTCCTTTGTGAACCCCTATAGTGGGTTAAATAATGTGCCCCCAAAATTCATATCCCCCAGAATATCAGAATGTGAACTCATTTGGAAATAGGGTCTTTGTGGATGTAATTAAGGTAAGGTCATACTGGATTCTAGTGGCTGGTTCTTTCTAAGAAGAGAAAAGAGAAAGACACACAAAGAAGGCTACATGTAGACAGAGGAAAAGACTTAAGTGATGTTGCCACAAATGAAAGGATACCAAGGATTGCTAACAGCCACCAGAAACTAGGAAGAGGTGAGGAAGAATCCTTCCCTAAAGCTTTCAGAGGGAGCATGGCCCTGCTGACACCTTGACTTTGAACTTCTGGTCTCCCAAACTGTGAAAGAATACATTTCTGTTGTTTTTAGCTCTGTTGTTTGTGGTAATTTGGTACAGAAATGCTAGGATGCTAATACACCCCCATCTCTTCCTCAGCTCATGATGATCTTCCTCCCATGAAACCCTCCACACCTGGATCATACTTAATTGGGCACTTATGTCCATGAGTTTAATGCTACTCTATAGTCATTGCCATTGCCTCATGGCCATCTAGTCTTCTCAACAAGGCTGCCTTTCTCCATCACAATAAACCACCATTGAAAACCAGATGCACCAACCAGGCACTGCATTAGGCCCTGGAGATGCAATAATGAGCAGACACAGTTACAGTCCTATAAGCATTCATAGAGCTTGCAGCCTTGTGAGAACCAATCAATAATTAAAAGATAGAAATCGTAAAGAAACTCTTGAAAGGGAAGTTTGAGGTGCTAGCAGAGTCTAACCACACCACTTAGCAAGCAAACCAGGACACTGTTGAGAGTGATAAAATGCCAAACCAGGCAAACAGCACAAACTAGGACTATCCCAGGTAACTGAGGTATAATAGCAAGAGACACATTCCTACAAGCTTCTTCCCAAGTAAGTCAAGAGAAATAAGCTTGTCAGATAGAGAGAAGGTAAAATCCTCTGGTGGAGCCAGATTCTGGAGAGGTCTTAAAAAGGACACAAGCGATATTGTTGCAGACATGACACTTCCTCTTTTCCCCTAATACCTTAAGCCTAAGCAGGGTCAATCATAAATGTTCTTGCCTTTCTTTGCCCATGAAAAAATCCAAGTGTTCCATCAATGCTTGCTTGCAGTGTTCTGTCCCCAGCAGGCAGGGATGTGACCCAGGAGAGAGCTAACCCGTTTGTCTATTCTCTTGCTCCACACACTCCCAGCTCCAGGCATGAATATAGCTAAATAATTAAATTCATCCATTTTGGCATGCTCCAGGCCTGGGTTTACAGCCAGGATCCCATACCTACCCACTACATAATAGTTCCTCAGTCTCTCTGATCTTCTGTGTCTACAGCCCCTACCTCACAGGGTGGTTGTGAGAATATCATAAATAAAGGAGCTAGTGCAATGTGCCTGGCCTAGAGCAGCAGGCAATAAACATGAGTGAGCTTATTATCATTATCATTATTATTAAAGTCTCCTTAGTCAAAGGCAGAATGTAGCCTCAAGGGCCCTGGAAGCCACCAAGGGGCTGAATCCATGGCCCTAGCCTCACCAATTCTACATTCTCCCCATCTGAACAATGCAGCTAGATTAGAGCATAAAGGCCAAGCTGGCACTCAACTCAGGGTTATTCTCTGGACCACAGGTGCCCTTTTATCTACTGATAATGCACTGGCAGCAGCAAGGCTCCTCTGTCCATTCAAGCTCACGAAGTGGGAATGAGGGATGTGTACTACCCCACCCCATCCTTCCCCACCCCCGCATCAAACTTACCTGGACTTTAAACAAGTAAGACCACAATTTTCAGAGAAACGCAAAGGGAAGTTCCCTCACTTCCCTCCCCAGGCCAGGGGACATCCACAAGCACCTATGAAAGGAAGCCAAACCTTCCTTCCAGCCAGGATTTCTCTGTTGTCAAATGTTAGCTTGGCACCTGGCTTCTCCACCCACCCCTGGGCTCTGGGACCTGGGGGCTGAACATCAAGCACTGAAGTTCTAAACATGGCCCTTAGAACTCAGCAAGGGGCAAGGAACTCCAAGGCATAGTGTTATTCAAGGGTGAGGAGTGAGCTAGTTCTCCCAGGAAGGGGATACAGGATACTATGTGGTAAATGGTGCTCTGAGAAGTTGAAGGGAGTCAAAGATAAAAAAATAAATAAACATAATTCAAATTCAGGGATAGCTTTGAAGAAGCCCTGCACATCTTCTAATCTTGGAATGATGCTGATGTTTATCACAGCCTGAATGCCCTCTGCAATAGTATAGCCACTGACTTTTGGGTGAAGTGCCTAAGGCATTTGACTGTGAACCAGAAGGCTGGCAGTTCAAACCCACCAGCCACTTCTTGGAAGGAAGGTTGGGCAATCTACTTCCATAGTGACACTGCCTCAGAAACCCAAGGAGAGATAACTATGAGTTGGGTCTGACTCCATGGCAATGGGTTTGGTTTTGGTTTACAATTTGCAAAGAGCTCTCACATACATTATCTCACATGATAATAATACCTGCCATTGACTAACAATCAGAGCTAAGTCAATCTAGCTCTTACTCATCTTAGCATACGTTGATGTTTTGCCTTTTAATTCTGACCATGACCTTATGATACAGTTATTATTACTGACATTTTTTAAAGGGAAAACTAAAGATTAGAGTAGTTTTAAGTCATTCACAAGGTCATGCAACAGCCAGACTCCAGACTCCAGTCTCTGAACCATTCCCAACTGGCCAGCATTGTGCTTGGGACTCCAAAGTAATAGTTTCTAATGCTCCACCCCACCACCATCGTGTGAGTAACCAAACCAAAACCAAACCAAACATGTGAGGTAGGAAAAAAAAAAAAAAAAAGAACTCCAAACTCACTGCCATTGAGTCGATTTTGACTCATAGTGACCCCCCTATTGGGTTTCTGAGGTAGTAAATCTTTACGGAAGTAGATTGCCCCATCTTTCTTCCACAGAGCAGCTGGTGGGTTTGAACCTCCAACTTCTGATTAGCAGTCAAATGCCTTAGGCACTGCAGCCAGCAGAGCTCCTTTTTGTGAGGTAACCAAATCCAAAACCAACTCACTGCCACTGAGTCAATTCCAACTCATAGCAACCCCCACTGGATTTCTGAGGTGGTAAATCTTTACAGAAGTCGATTGTTCCATCTTTCTTCCACGGAGCAGCTGGTGGGTTTGAACCTCCAACCTTCTGGTTAGCAGGCAAATGCCTTAGGCACTGTGCCACTGGAGCTTCTTTGTGTGAGGTACAGAAAGGGAAAAAAAAAAATTGTTGCTGTTGAACGGATTCCAATTAATGGCAGCCCCATGTGCTTCAGTAGAACTGCACCCCATAGGGTTTTCTTATGGAAGCAGATAGCCAGGCCTTTTTCTGCAGTGCTGCTGGGTGGTTTTGAATCCCTAACCTTTCAGTTAGTTGCTGAGAGCAAACTGTTTGCAACACACAGAAATCTCCAGGAAGAGGTGGCAGTGTTTTTCTAATTTATGATGAATAAAGTGAGGCTCATGAGAGTAAGTGAACTGATCCTAATATAAACAAGACTCAAGCCTATGTCTATGTCTCTCTCTACATCCCATCCCCAGCTTACTAAGCTGTGCTGCCTCTCCTAATGGGTAGCATCAGAGTGTATAACGGTTAATTTGCCAAAGCTTTATTATCCTCTAGCTCCAGAGGAGAGGAGCTCTGGTGGCACAGTGGGTAAAGCTTTCAGCAGCTAACCAAAAGGTCAGTGGTTCAAACTCACAAGCCGCTCTATGGGAGAAAGATGGGGCAGTCTGATTCCATAAAGATTACAGCCTTGGAAACCCTATGGGGCAGTTCTACTTTGTGCTATAGGGTTACTATGAGTGAGAATTAACTTGATGGCAGTGGGTTTGGTTTCTCCAGCACGAGAGGATACTAAGTGGTTATCTAAACATGGGCAGGCTGCTTTTCTTTTTCTCCTCTCAATTTCATCATCTGTAAAATGTGGGGTTGGAAGAGCTGTTTATAAATTACCATAAAAACGAGTGATTCATTTTACCCTTCCACAGCACTGAGAGTCAGCTATTACCATATCCAATTAGATGAGGAAACTCAAAACCAGTGTGGTCAAAAGGGTTGCTTAAGGTCACATAGCTAGAAAAAGCCACAACTATAGACCTGGCCTTCAGACCCCAAGCTCTGTAAGTCTTTCTCCTGGAACACATTCACAGACCATTCCCCAAATGACCTGACCTAGATTAGGGCTATATCCTAAAGGATTGGCTGATGAGTCTTGACTAGGTTCCCAGAATGCCCCCTAACCCAGGCCAAGTTTGAAAACAGCCTCACAATTTGGGTCAAGTGCAGCTAAATGGTTTATTGCATTCCTCTCTCTCTTTGAATTAGCTTCCAAATAAGAGTGTTGGCTAGGAACCATGTAGGCCTGATAGGACTGGGTAAGAGGGTTGCAAGAAGCCAGTAATGGGGTGTTACAGATTGCATTATGGTCCCCAAAAATGTATGTTGTAAATTCTAACTTTTATGCCTATGATTATAATCCCACTTGGGAATGGGCTGTCTTTGATATATTAATGAGATAGGATTAGTATAGGATGTATCTTGAGTCAATGTCTTTTGAGATATAAAATAGATTAAGCAATTGAGCAGAGATAGATGGAGTAAGAAAATGCCAAGACACATGGAGATCTCCCAGAAAACAGGAAGGAGAAGCTGAAGAGACAAGGACTTTTCTCCAGAACCGACAGAGAAAAAAGCCTTCCCCTTGAGCCGGCTCCCTGAATTCAGACTTCTAGCCTCCTAAACTAGGGGAAAACAAATTGCTGCTTGTTAAAGCCATGAGGTCTCTCATGGTTTGAGTCCCTGGGTGGCACAAATGGTTAAGTGCCTGACCACTAGCCAAAAGGTCGGTAGCTGGAATCTACCCAGAGATGCCTCAGAAGAAAGGTCTGTCCATAAAGTTCTCAGCCTTGAAAATCATATAGAGCACAGTTGTACTCTGATACATGTGGGGTTGCCATGAGTCAGAATTGATTCAGCAGCAACTAGATTTTTGGTTTTGGGTCCTATGTTTCAGCTAAAATGCACTTCAATCAACAAGGCCTTCTGGAAGGAAGGGGACTCTGGTGATGAGGGGAAGCACTTTCTACTCTTCTGTTTTTGAAAGACCATTACAACATCTCTGCCTGATGCAAAAGCTGAGGGCATAAAGAACAAGGACATTATCAGAGTCATGAAGTCACAGCATTCCATTTCAGCTTCTTGGCCCAAGGGAGCCACCCCAAGGGGCTTTCACAGCAGGAAGCATGAGCTCATGGCAAACTTGTGGACTGAGACCCATTCTTGAGCTCTAGGGTACAGAAGCCAAATTCAGAGGAGGGTGATTTTGAGGCCTTAACTGCTAGGGCTGTTCTAAGCATCCTGTGTCCACCCTCATCCCCAGAGCCAAAAAACAGAGGTTTCAATGAAGAGAAGAGACATTTTGACCAAGAGACATTGAGAGAAGTATAGATTCGAGAGGTTGGAGTCACTACTGGACAGCTCCCTGGGAGATGAGAAGACCCAGCTGACTTGTTTGCTGTAGGCATTGGCCATATTACCAATTTCCTTATCCTTAGAGTGACCTTATTGAAGACAGTGTTGATCTTCACAATAAACCATCCTCATTTCTCCACTCTCTTTTGTTCTTCAATGCTCTGATTCATCCAACTATCCAACTATCCCTCAACTACCTAATTACTATGCTCTAGATCTCTTAAAGTTACCAAAACTTAACTGTCCTGTGTTCTTCTCTCCATTCAGGGATAAATTGATAAACTGATTGTTGTTGTTAGTTGCCACTGAGTAGATTCAGACTCATGACATCTCCATGTTTGCACAGTAGAACTGTTTCTTAGGGTTTTCAAAGTTATGTATGACCTTTCAAAAGCAGACACTGGGCCTGTCTTCTGAGCCACCTCTGGGGTCAGCTAGTAACTGGGGGCTTAAACATTTGTACCACTCAGGGACTCCTAACGATTGATAGTGACTGTCTTGCTAGACATTTGCACTCCAGCATAGTATTTTAAAAAATAGGCCATGTAAGAATCTCAGGTTCCATGGGAACACTGAAGCAGAGGACCACTCTTGCTGTCCTCCAAACCACATCTCGCAGGTCCCCATATCACTAAAGTACATTACGCTTTGCCCCAGAGACAGAAGACCACTGCTCCTTCCAGAGTGCGACTTTTCTTCCCTCCTTGTCCCACCAGCAGCTCAGAGTCTGAGAAAGGTCACTCTAATCCAGGTTCCTTATCCTCAAACTGCTGACATTATGCTGTTGTTGTTGTTACGTGCCATCGAGTTGGACCCTGACTCATAGAGACCCCTCCTTGGGTTTCCAAGGCAGTATCACTATGGAAATAGATTGCCCAACTTTCCTTGGCTAGATAATTCTTTGTTATGGAGCTGTCCTTTGCATTATAGGATGTTCAGCAGCATCTCTGTCCTTTACCCACTAGATGCCAGTAGCACCCCCACTCAATTTGTCTCTAGACATTGTCAGTGTCCCTTAGGGTCAATATTACTCCTGGTTGAGAACCACTGCTGTAATCCTACAAATTCTAATAGGCACCATAGTAGAAAGAGCTAGCAACCATGAAATGTGTATAATTTACTACCTTAAATGCCCACCAGTGGGATGTGGTAAAAGCAAACATACATATATCTGCATAACCAATTGAAAACCATTTTTCAAATGACAGATCTTCGACTTTCTACAAACATCCCTACTCAAAAACACCTTTGAGGGGGGAAAAAAAATACAATATAAAGATAGCAAACTTTTTAAAGTCTGGTGAAACCCCTGAGACATGGCCCCTAATCATCCATTTGGCCTAGAATTGAACTCACACCCATGTCTTCCAGCCAAACATTCGGCATATAACCTGAACATTTATATCAGGTAGGTACACTCTTTAAAACAATCAACCATGGAAAATCAGAAGGGCAGTAGTTGCATAAGGAGCTAGCTCAGAGGGCAGGAATGCATAGCAAAGAGAGACATAGGGAAAATGTAACCACAGGGAAGAAGTAGGAAGAAAGCTGTAACATTATGGAGATTACAATCAATGTCATGAAACAAAATGTGTATGAACTGTAGAATGGAAAATGAATTTGCTCTGTAACATTCACCCAAATTAAAAAAAAAAAAAAAAAGGAAAAACTTTTTAACCTAAAATCACTTTAAAAAGACAGACTATAATTAATGACTACCAAAGGCAAGGAGAAACCAAAACCAAGGGGGACGGGAGTATTTACTGCTTAAAAAGGTACTACACATTGTTTAGGGTGATGAAAAAGTTTTGGAAATAGATAGTGGTGATGGTAGCACAATATTCTGACTGTAATTAACGTCACTGAACTTTACTACAATAAAATATTTTAATAATTAAAAAGGCAGACTACAAAATTTGTGTGCATGGAGATTACAACTCTGGAAGCCTTACACATTCAGATGAAAAACAAAAAAAAACAAACCCATTGCCATAGAGTCAATTCTGAGTCATAGTGACCCTACAGGACAGAGTAGAACTGCCAAGGCTGTAAATCTTTCTGGAAGCAGACTGTCTCATCTTTGTCCCATGGAGTGGCTGGTAGGTCCAAACTGTCAAACTTTTGGTAAACAGCCCAAACATCCAATTGGGTGAGATGACAGAATTACTGGTAAGTCATTGCTTCCACTTAAAGTTTTGATAATGTATTGGTAATCAACATAAGGCATGTCCCTGGATAGTGCAATTAACTTGCTTGGCCAGAGGTGCCTCACAAGAAAGGTCTGGTGATCTATTTCTGAAAATCAGCCATTGAAAACTCTATGGCTTTTCCTACTCTGACACACATGGGGTCACCATGAGTCACGATTGACTCAATGGCAGCTGTTTTTTTTTTTTTTAATTAACATAAAGTATTGCTTACCGTGATTACACCCATTTTAATTAGTTGTCATTAAAATATACTATTTGCTTGTTTGGCCATTTTAGCCAGGACAGGAGAGGGGATAATTGTGAAACAACAAACCCACATTTTGCTTTTCCTGCTCGCTTCCTTCATCTTCATCAGGGGTAATAGTTACTCCAGGAATAACCATCTCTATCACTTGTCTCAGGAGCTCTGGTGGCGTAGTGCCTAAGGTACTTAACTGCTAACCAGAAGGCTGGCAGTTCAAACAGACCAGCCCTTCCTTGGAAGGAAGATTGGGCAATCTATTTCCCTAGTGATACCACCTTGGAAACCCCAAGGAGGGGTTGCTATGAGTTGGGTCTGACTCGACGGCACACAACAACATCGCTTGTCTCATCAGTCCCTACGAGGAACAACCGGACAGGACAGGTGCTTGATAGGTATTTGTTGACCTGAACTTACCTCAGACTTCCGTGTGGTGGTTTGAGGGCTTCCACTTGGAGTATAGTGGGTTTCTGTGTAGGCTGGAGCAAAAAGGTCCCTGCAAAGAACAAAAATAGGCATTTGCATCATTAGTTGGTGACACAATCCTCCTGGTAACAGCAACTAGTGATATTAACTTAACCAGATAGGACCACCCATGCATTTCCATGCAGAAGAAACCAGGCTAAGGAACAAACAGAAAACAAGGGAAAGTTTGTTATTAATTGGATATTCATTTGTATCATCATTTAGTTCAAGCACAATCAGATGAAGCAGACAGAACTAAAGCAATGGTTCAACTTATTCTGTGTCCTGGAGAAATACAGATGCAAACATGTGCACAAAATGTTCCAGGATGCATGAGTTGTACTTTGTTTCTCTAATGATCTGCCAGCACCATGTCCACTAATTTTTACTAACAGCACACCAATTTTTCTTTAAGACAATATCTCTTCCTTGTTGGATGTAGTTTGGTGAGACTATCAACCAACATATCCTATCCAGTTCTGACCCATGATCTAAGCCAAGATGATGGAATAGTGTTGCAAGGACTGAGCAGACAAAAGTGATTCATCCATTCCTTTGTTCCTGCTACATGGCTTCCTGGAGCTGCCTTTCCCTGTCCTTTCTGAGGCCTAGTAGTGCAGATTTCCTAAGGCCTGGTGTTTCTGTACATTACCCTTTGAATAAATTCTTTTTTTTTTCCCTTTAAAATTGAACATTGGTTTCTCTCTTGCCACAGACCCCTCAGAACTGAGATAAGAATCCCTCACCAAAGACAAGGCAATACCAAATAAGGTTCCCAGAATTTCTCTGAAAGTTAAAAGAAAAACGAAAGAACCAAACAGATGTTTCAAGCAGCTCAACCACATTAAAAGCAGAATGGATCTATAGAGAGTCAAGGCCAAGGGGGCAAAAAAGGTTTCTAATGGAAGGCATCATTAAAAATCAGAGTCCAACACAAAAGAATGACGTGGATATATATGTACTAATGTGGGAAGATGTCTAAAATAGAGTCAGATAAAAATAGTAATTATGGAAAAGTTTGTATTATAAAAGTACATTTTAATGAAAAAATAATACTGGCATACATGAGTGAAGGCATTAAAAACAAATAGAATAACAAGTGCTTACTCTTAATGGTGGTTATCTCAGGGGATTAAAGATATTCATTATCTAAATTACAAATTTCTAAAATTGGCTGAATTTTTTTCTAATTATCATGCATTTATTTTGAAAGCTAAATAACAAAGTTAAAACTGACTTTTAAAAAAGAAAATGGAGCTGAGGCCAACACAGAAAAGCCAAGGAATCATCAGAGATCACCTAGGTTTGGAAGAGGTGACATTTTCCAGAAACAGAGGGTCAGCTGAGAGAATGTCTCTAGTCACCTGAAGCTGTGAGTTCCGGGACTCCTGACTCTTAGATTCCTGGTTCCCTCCACCCCCAGTGTGAAGTCAGAAAAAAATGCGACAAGAACTGTCTCTTGCAATATGTCAGGCCTTCAACATCTAGACTTGAGCAAAAAAAGAAAAAGAAACACAGCAGGAAAATGTAGAAATAAAGTAAAGCACAAAAACCAGCTTGTGTAGGGTTCTCAATCACATGGAAAATCTGGGTCAGTGGCTAACACGCCAGATTCTTTCTCCTCAGCTCTTTCTCTCTCTCCTCAGTATCTCACCAGGATCCAAGGGAAAGGTCACTCATTTGTTTGAGGGAGATAAACTATAAGCAATAGAGGGCAGAGGCTTCAATGAAGGAAGTAATTAATTACTGAGGAACGAATGAACGAGTAATTCAGCATACTAGCCCTTTAGAGTGTGGTCTGGAGTCTCAGACTGAGTTTTCAATTTCAGCTCTGACATTTACTATCTCTGGCCAAGAGCAAGGTACTTTACCTCTCTGAATCTCTGTATGCTCTTCTAAGAAAAGGTAGATAGTATAACTACCTTGACAGGACTATGATTTTTACATAGCACACGTAAAGTGGAGCTCAGTAAGTTAGTGATTATCATTATTGATTCTAACAGGGATTGATGGAAGAACCCAGAAAAACATGAAATGTACCTGCTTCTCCCCCAACTCTTTCCAGCTATCAATGCTCCAGTAAGTCATTTGAGAGAGGTAATAAGAAGCAATTAGCTCATTCCTGCCACCCACTTCCTGGGTCTGCTTTCACAGTCTGCCTGGACTGTATAATGGTGAGAGGTTAGAGTTTAATGATTCATCCCGGGTGCCAATGGAGAAATGTGAATTTTCCAACAGGAAATGCACTCCTGGTAAATACATGCTCAGCCTCTTCTGAGTCTTAGAGTGAAAATATACATCCAGTAACATTAAGATGCTCCAAAGAGAACAATCCAAATTTAGCCCCAAGGTAGCCATCTTCTTGTCAGCCTCAAGTCACAAGTCCTCAGAAGGATAAGAAACTCTTTTGTAGTTTCTTATTCTGAAGATCTGTCCTCATTATCATAGAACTTACAGAGTTTCAGCACTGCAAGAGACCTGAGAAATCACTGAGCCATACTCACTAGACTGTGGGTTCCCTGAGAGCAGGGACAAACATTTTCCCCAGCAGCCAGCACCTAACCAGCAGGCAAAATGCAGCTGCCATTGATTCCAACCTATGGAGACTTCATGTGTGTCAGAATAGAACTGTGCTCCATAGGGTTTTCAATGGCTGACTTTTCTGAAGTAGATCACCAGGTGTTTCTTCCAAGACACCTCTAGGTGGACTGAACCCTCCAAACTTTGGTGAGCAGCTGAGTGTGTTAACCTTTTGCACCAAGGGACTCTAGCAGGCAGGCAGTACATGTTTATTTTGTGAGTGAGTGAGTGAGTAGATGAAGAAATGAATGAGTGAAGTGCTCACTTCGGCAGCACATATACTAAAATTGGAATGATACAGAGAAGATTAGCATGGCCCCTGCACTAGGATGACACATAAATTCATGAAGCATTCCATATTTTTTGATGACAGATGCTAAAACCAACCAATGTGTCCACAATACCACATTGCCCTTAACACCAAACATTAGGCTATATAGATAAACACATAAACACCTGAGATGATCAGACAGATACCTAACATGGAAAAGGATGGTCATGTAAGAGAGCAAGCAGATTATCTGTTGTAGGCTCAGAGGTCAGAGTGAGGGCCAGTGCATGTGGATTACAGATAGACGGTTTTGGGTTCAATTGTAAGAACTTTCTCCAACTACTATATATGGTCAAAAATGGAGTAGACAGACTCAGGAGCTCCCAGTCCCTGGCAGTGTTCAGTGAATAGAGGTATACTCTAGACCAAGGATAGACTCAGCTGAGGCTAATCTTGTACAGACACCAATGATACAAAATACCTGCAGTCCTTACAGAAACAATAGAAGACAGACACAGAGTAATACCTCACAGACATCCCAACAGTATGGGAGAGAGATCCAATAGAGCTACTACCTCAGGACCATAGTACTGGGGTACACCAGACTCAATTGGCACAACAAAATACATAAAAGCATTGCTCCACATCCTACATTGGTGAGTAGTGACTGGGGTCTTAAAAGCTTTCAAGCAGCCATCTAAGATGCAGCTAATGGTCTCCTACCGTCAGAAGTGAAGAAGAACGCCCCCCCCCCAAAAAAAAGGGCATTTAGAAGCAATCAACCCTAGGACACAATGGCCCTCAAGACCAGAAGAACTGGATGGTGCCCAGCTACCAATGCCAACCACTCAGGAAAGGATCAAACCTGGATAGAGTGGGAGGGAAAACGTGGAACAAAATCCAAAAACTCAATAATGACCAGAATTACTGGTCAGATGAAATCTGGTGAGACTCCCAATACTATGGCCCTGAAATACATTTGGCGCCTGGAAGAAAACTCACACCCAGGGGTGGGCTCTCAGCCCAATAGTTAACAAGATGTACACACAGACCACTCAACCCAGGATGCCGCACCCACACACTCAATGGTAATATATCCCTTAGAGCAATAGACCATGTGACACCAAAGGACCAATATTCAAACTGAGGAAATGCAGGACAAACAAGAGTGCATAATTATGAGGGGCACAGAGGGAGAGTTGCAGGGTAGGGAGGGGAGGAGACTGGGTTAGGGTTGGACATAATGAATGGGGAATGAAACTAAATGTACGCGTGATGTTGAATGTAAAACAAACTCTTAAAATAAAAATAAATGAATGAGTGAATGAACAAATAAATGAATGAATGAACAATGCTTCAACCTACTACAGTAATCTGCTGATAGTCATTAAACAGTTGCTTGAACACCGCCAGGGACTGGGAGCTCCTGAGTCTGTCTACTCCATTTTTGACCATATATAGTAGTTGGAGAAAGTTCTTACAATTGAACCAAAAACCGTCTATCTGTAATCCACATGCACTGGCCCTCACTCTGACCTCTGAGCCTACAACAGATAATCTGCTTGCTCTCTTACATGACCATCCTTTTCCATGTTAGGTGTCATTGAGTGGATTTTTGACTCACAGCAACCACATGTGACAGAGTAGAACCCCATAGTTTTCTTGGCTGTAATCTTTATAGAAGCACATCACCAGGTCTTTTCTCCTGTGGAGCCACTGGGTAGGTCTGAATCACCAACCTTTTGGTTTGTGGCCTAGCACTTAACCATTGTGCCACCAAGATTCCTTTCCCATGGCCTAGGACCTAGCTAAAAAGGCAAAATTGTCAGGCTCCAACCCCAGATCTACTAAATCAGACAGAAACTCTGGGGTTGGGTTCAGGAGTCTGTTTTTAACCGCCCTCCAGGTGATTCTAGTACACACTCAAATTTAGAGCCACACCCTAGACCACAAACTCAATATATTTTTAAGCCAGACAAACTTCAAAAGTGACTAAAAGTATCTTATTGTCCCAGCTTCCATTGCCTACCCACCTCAACCACACCTTGGATCATTCTGAGCCTGGGAAACTCAAAAAGGTTACAATTATCATCAGTAACATGTATTTACTTTGCTAAGAAGGAGCCCTGGTACTACAACAGTAAATTCCCAGCTGCTAGCCAAAAGGTTGGCAGTTGGAA